CTTCCCATGGGATCTTACCCACCAACTCCCTGAGTTTGCTGAAGTCTGCCTTCTTGACATCCACTGTCTTTATTTTGCTGTTCTTCCTCCTACCATTCCTTAGAATCATAAACTCTACTGTTTGATGATCACTTTCACCCAAGCTGCCTTCCACTTTCAAATTCTCAACCAGTTCCTCCCTATTTGTCAAAATCAAATCTAGAACAGCCTCTCCCCTAGTAACTTTCTCCACTTTGTGAAATAAAAAACTGTCTCCAATACATTCCAAGAACTTGTTGAATAATCTGTGACCTGCTGTGCTATTTTCCCAACAGACATACTGAACTGAACATTGGTAAATAATTTAATTCACTGATCCATTTGTGAATAATCTTGATCTGTATTAGCCCAATTTGTACCTATGTACTTTCATATAGTCAAATATGCCAAGTAACCCTTAATATTGCACAACTACTGATGGGTTTCCATAAGTAACAGAAATACAACCATCAATATCAGGATTTGTCTTCATTCCCCCCAAAAACTTGTGTTTTTAATCTCAAGGTAAAGGAAGGTACAGGAGCAATACCAAGGTGAAGCCACAGTGAGGACAGGACACTTCAGATTTATCTGAGGTAAATTCACAGAGATCAATGCCAGACAGGCCTGATCTCAGCAAGTTAAAAGTGATGTACCATGATGTCGTCCCTGTGTTTTCACCTTGGGATAGCTTTTACCTGGAGGTAAAAAAAAATCCAAGTTTTTTTTAACAGCAAAGACAAGCCCTGCCGCCCACTTTGTTCCACTTCTCTATTCGTCCTGCCACAGCATCCAGACACCGCGACAAAAACTTTATTACTAGCTCTGCAGCCTACATCACCCCTCACCTCATGGGAAGCAAGGGACACAGGAACCTGGGAGATGCAAGAGTGGCACCCAGCCAGCGGGTGGGGGGAGCAAAGGACACCTACCCCAAAACCCAGCACATACTCCAGACCCAGTTCTTCACCCTGGTACGGCTGTCCCCCCCATCCAGCCGCACCGCGCCGCACCAACACTCCTCCCCGGCTTCTCCCACAAACTCACAACTACTCACCCCTCCCCCGCAGCCTGACTCTCAACCTCCCCCAAGAACCCCGGACCGACGCCCCGCCCGGATCGGTCGCTCGCTCGCTCCCCCATCTCGGAATACTTCCCCCTTCCGATGACTTAACCCCCATACGTAGCCCCGCCCCGCTCTGTCTCTCACCTCCTGCCGGGGATTTCCGGCCCCAGCCGCACCAAACGCGCGCGGGACCAACTCAGAGACACGGACGCGTTGCTGAGGGGGAGCGGTCCCACCACTACCACGGCGACACACGGGGCACGTGACACCGCGAGACCGGCGCTGACTGATGACGTCACCGCAGAGTCAGGGCGCAAGGAGAAACCCAACGCTTCTTCCAGCAGCTACCCCGGCAAATACCGGGGGCTCCAGACTCCGCCCCACGGGACGCCAGGCTCCGCCCACAGCAGTTTGTCACGCCCCTTGGGTGCAGGGCTGGAGTCGGCCCGGTCACTTCCGGATCAAGTCACGCTTCATGCTCCTCTCCTGAGGCAGCCGTTTCTTCCTTGGCTGGTCGCTGGGCTCTTCCCTCAGCAGCTTCCCCGCTCCCCGAGCGGATGAGCGCTTTTTCCAGCACCTTCCCCCCAGGCAAGGGGTACCAGGATACCGCAGCAGCAGCTGCTGCCTCCCCTCCTCCCCCAGTAATGGGCAGGACTGCCCAGAGAGGGCGGCAAGTTGGGCAATTTGCCCAGGGCCCCCTAGGGGCCCCCACGAATATAGCATTTTATAGTATTGCAACTTTTTTTTATGGAAGGGGTCCCTGAAATTGCTTTTCCCCAGGCCCCCTGAATCCTCTGGGCAGCCCTGGTAATGGGGTGCGCGAATCCCCCTTCAGCAGCGGCCATCCCCTCTCCCGAGGGGTCCTGGGAGCTTCCCCACCCCCACCAGACACCTCTCCCCTCAGCTTCCAGCGCCTGAAATGGCAGAGGACAGATAGAAAACTTGCAAAAGGCTGCAGATCCACTAAGCAGAACCCAGGGCAGTCTGCAGTTCCGTAGCTGGGCTGTGGGGCACACGCTGTACGTGGCGGCAGAAGGGTGCTACGGGATCCAGGCTTTCTTCTTCAGCTTTTACTTGTGCCATATTTCCAACATGAATGAGTAGTTTATTACCAATGTCAATTTTTTATTGTTTTTTCTTAGACCTGCACCGCCTCGATCTTGTAATCTGAGTATTCATTAAAAAGAAATATTCTAGCCATGAAAGGTTCTACAGAGGAAAGCCTGAAAATGTGACCCAAGTAAGCTACAGGCTAAGAAATTGAAAAGAACACCCACTTTTATCATTATTCAAAACTCATAATTTTAAGCACCCATCATGATTTGGGATGGGCTCAGAAAATGATCTCTAAATTACTTAGAATAAAAATATTTCTAAATATTTAACATGGGAAATGCTCACAAAACAGTGTGCCCCCCTATTGACTCAGCAGCAAAATTTTTAAAAATTATTCTCGAACAGATGCCAAACTAAAAAACATACATAAAATTAGGTTTCAGAGTAGCAGCCGTGTTAGTCTGTATCCGCAAAAAGAAGAACAGGAGGACTTGTGGCACCTTAGAGACTAACAAATTTATTAGAGCATAAGCTTTCGTGGACTACAGCCCACTTCTTCGGATGCATAAAATTACATAAAATTAAGCATTGAAGACCATTACTAGTTAGCCTGAACATTTATTTCTGTCAGAACATGATGGAGTCGTTCACCTCAGAAAAGAGAGGGAGGCATGGGAACAAAATGGACGAACATAATGACCACAGTCAACTTCACAGCATGGTGTGCCCCCACCTGGTACGGGAGCACAAAATGAG